TTAAGAGGAAATTTTTTTCAATAACAAGCAATAATGGCAAAAAGCGCAAAAAACTAGACTTTTGTATGAGTTTTGATCCCAATTTTCGTTTTGGGTTAACACTCAAAACCTTTTTTGAACAGTTAGAAACCGATATACTAAGATAAAATGCCTGTTTGAAGTGGTATTTTATATTGTGTTAGAATGTTGCTTTGTCAGGCTTTTTTTACAGAAAAAATATGGGAAATAAGCAAATGAAGGCCTAAACCTCGTTTTTGAATAAAAGTTTTGCTTTGGGTTAACACTTTGATTCCACTTTCGTCGGTCATCTCCACTGCCAAATGAGTTAAAAATTTCAAACTTTCTGAATAACAAGATTTTAGCCTTGTACAACAGCCTTTCTTCAAGAAAATAGTTTCTGGCGCTCACTGCTTGAATATGAAAAGGATTCTCTCTTAATCATTACCTACCAATAATCAATTGTATAAAGATAGTATATGCCTGTTATTTGAGTCTGGGAGTTTGACATGCAGAGTCTTATAATATAGCTTTAACCTCACAATGCTTTGAATTCAATCAACACCAATATTCACGAGAATGTTTGACTATGACTGGTTGAATTTGTTTTGGACCTAGCATTCATAGCAGTAGTACAAAATCAGCCAATCAGAATCAATCAATGTGATAGTTTATCATCTCAGTTGCCTTGGAAATAATAGTGACTAGATGTAATACAAAATGATAGAATGTTTGACATGTGAAATTACACTGCATAGTGGGATAATGAGTAGCCTGGGGATATTCATGGCAGTGCTTTGGGGGGGTGGGGGGGGGGTAGGGGGTGGCCCAGTTGAGGACTCTCCCCCCCCCCTTTCCTCCTCCACTTCTTCCATTTTAAAGTCCCCAAACCACTACACAGACTGTGATTAGTGTGACTATTTTAATCATTTGAACATAGCAAATGTTAATATATATATCGGTGATATCAAAAGGAAATGATCTTCATTAGGTAAGAAAAGAGTTTCAAAAGTTTGAATACTAATAAATCACAGTAAATGCTTGAAAAGTTTGAATAGTTATATATATAAATCACAGGTGTTTAATTATCTAAATTATTCATTTTTTTTGTTAAAATTAGAATTTCTGTAGCAGAGCTGCACTGGAAGCTTTGGGTTCCTGTCTCAATAACAAGTATTCTGAAGGATATCCTGGACAAAGGTATGCAAAGATTGAAAGAGTAAACCAAGCAAAAAATACTGGAGAAATTAAGAAAAAAATGAAGAAGAAAAAACAGAAAGGGAATTAATAAATGCATGAATGAATGAAAGAGCAAATGAATGAATGAAAATTTTTGAATAAATTTATGAACAAATGAATTTGCAAATAATGATCAAGTGATTTGATAAACAAATAAATGATCATCATAAAGAAATGAATGAATAAAAAAGTCAATAATGAAAAAAACTGAAAGGACAAATCAATTATTTAAGCTATTCTGAAAAAGTAATAACAGACTTAACCTTTTAATGAATTATTAGTTGATGAATAAATTTATAATATAATTTTCTATTATTTGTTATTTTTGAATAGATATTATGGAGGCACTCAATTCATAGATGAAATAGAGTGTTTGGTTCAGAAACGAGCTCTTGAAGCCTTTCGTCTAGATCCTGCTGAATGGGGAGTCAATGTTCAGCCATACTCAGGTGAGAATAATATTTTAATCAATCGAGAAAAAAAGAGGAGTACTACTTGCTTACGCCATGCAAGCACACGCGCGAAATGGTATAATTTTCTGTCAAGRCAATAGATTTTGGTTGACGCCAATGGCGTTTCCATAACTTGGTTAACAACACAAAGTTTTTAAGGGCAGGTGCCTTAAAAAATGTCATGGAAACACCTTGATTGATGCCCACTAAGACCTACTTCAATTGCGATAAAAAATTGTATGATTTCAAGTGTGTGATTAAGGAGAACTGTAAGAGCTGGAAATATATAATTGAGTTGTGTTCTGTTTTTGGGATTGATTTAATTTCAACAATGCCAATCACCAACAACAATAAATTTTTGAGACTATGCAAGTCAGTTGGAAGATTATGCTCAACGTACTAAGGAGTATGTGAAATGAGAAATGCTGTTTCAGTTTTGAAGTAAGACTGTCACTCATACTTTTCTTTCCAAAACTTTTACAGGATCACCAGCAAACTTTGCTGCATACACTGGTCTTCTTAAACCACATGACAGAATAATGGGCCTGGATTTACCACATGGAGGACAGTAAGTAACATAATGTTCCAGAAAAAAAAGAACACATCTGTACAGAGTACATTAAGTATAGTTTAATAATAAATGAGCAGAAATGTTTTATCAGGTTTAATTACCAGAGAGGTAAGATTTTTTCCATTGAATATTTTCACGTTTTTTTTTGCTTTCTATAGTTTGACCCATGGTTTTATGACTGATACCAAGAGAATCTCTGCTACGTCTATCTACTTTGAGTCCATGCCTTACAGACTTAATGTAAGTGGCTTTTATCTTAAAGTTTAATGCATTTACAGAAACTGTCTTGATGTAAGAATAAAAGTTTCATAGCAGGACACATGTAGCATCCAGTACCACAGGTAACCCGGTAACAATATCATTCAATCTGTACTGTGTATATTAAAATACAAGTTATTATTCCTTAAATTTTTTTGTATATTAGTTGACTATTGCATGGTTCCTATTGGTAATTGTGTACTTCATTACCAGCCAACAYGTGTCTGTCGACTATTGCCCGACTGTTGGGCAATAGTTGATTGTATGTTGACCGTGTATTGTTGGCCGATGGTCAGCCAATACACGGTAAACACACGGCCAATGCTTGGTCAACACATGGCCAATAGTCAGGCGACTGTCAACCAACAGTCAGGTGATAGTCGACTGACACATGACGGCTGGTCATGAAGTACACAATTACTGTTCCTATTACAAATTTTACATATTTCATTTCAAGGGCTAAATGCCCTCCTTCACTCTAACACATCTGTCTTGGATACGTTTTAAGTTTCAGAATGAGTTAAAAATTGAAAATTGAAAAATTAGATAATATCTATTATATCTAATATCTATTTCACAGGTTAAGTGACTTCACTCTAGTTAAGTTAACTAATATAACTAATATTTATTCTAATCCTTCCTGGTGCATATCAAACAGCACAACTAGTCCCCGGGAGGGGGGTACTCCCACATATGGACTATACAGGGATGATCAGCTGAACAGGGTATGGTTTTTCAAGCTTCATATCATAAACAGGGTATGCAATTTCACTCAAGTTCCAAGTTCTTCCTGAGTTTCCTGTCACATTCAGGGATTCTACTTTCGTATTGACCCAAAATGGTTATTATGGTCATAAAAAAAYGATATGCGAGATGAGAGATGACATGAGAGATGACATGATAATTGAAACAGGAACTCAGTGCAATAAATCATATCTTTTGTCATAAACAGGGTCCACACATTTGTTTTTTTTATATCATAAACAGGGTACCCCTTTCAGAATCCCAGCAGAACACCCCTACCCAAATTCTGGCAGAGTACCCCCGTACCCTCCCCTTCCCCTAGAAACTAGTCTCCATTTGATATTGCAGCTATTCTTATTTTCACGTCCCAAACTCCCTCCCCACTTAGTGGAGACTACAAAGGAGGCTATATACAGTACAATGATTTGACTAATCTACCATAAGATTTCCACTGATCTCATTTTGTCATGCAGGAAGCCACAGGGTACATTGACTATGATAAACTTGGAGAAACTGCCAAGCTCTTCCGCCCTAAACTTATCATCGCTGGAGCAAGTGCTTACTCCAGACTTTATGAATATGACACGATGAGAAAGGTGTGATGACAAAACAGTTTGTTAAACAACTTAATTATTTTGCATGCATGCATACAATGGACACTGAATTTGATTCGTACATTATCATATGAATCTTCTTCATTATCATCCTCATTAACATCTTCATTGTCATCAACAACATCATCATCAACATAATTAACATTTTCACTAACATCCACAACATTAACATTAAAATTTTCAACATTAGCAACATCAACATCCGCAASATCAACATCGAAATCATCATCTGCATCAGGACTCATCATCATCATTATCACCTGCATTGACAGGTATCATCATCATCATAACTGATATTGATCATCATCATCTTCATCTGCATCATCATCAACCTCATCATCATCATTACCATCTTTATCACCTACATCATCATCACCATTCTCAACATCAAGATCATCATTCTCAGTCATCATTCTCATTAGTTATTAAATTACATTTAACGATGATGATATTTTAGATTGCAGATGAAAACAATGCCATCCTTCTGGCTGACATGGCACACATTAGTGGACTCGTTGCAGCTGATGTAAGAAACTTCATATCCTTATTTGTTTGTTTAATGTCTTTCATATCTCTTACATTTAAATTACATGTAATCCAGCATCAAGGCTGCAAATAATATTTGTGATGAGCAGGTCATTTGTGAGGCCAGAGGCAAATTTGACCTGCCAAAACCCAAAGGTGTTTGGTCAAATGTCCAGTCATTGTTTCTGGACCTTTGTCAGATGACCGGCATTAATTTTCAGCCTTTAACATGAACAAAGGGGCAGGAAGCAGAACTTGTAATTTTGATAATTATTGTTAGGGGCTGTAAAATCATTAGGAACACTGCAGTCATTATATAGAGTTGGGGAAAAGTTGTGCAAATAACAGGAAAGTCACTAATTTTAATGCAGTCATCAGTCATATGCATCATGAAAGGGTTAGACAATTTAAATTTTTTAAAAGAGCATTACAACCCTAGTATTGGTTACTGGTTTCTGGGTACTGGTTACTGGTTACTGGTTTCTGGGTGCTGGTTTCTGGGTACTGGGTGCTGATTTCTGGGTACTGGGTGCTGGTTTCTGGGT